TTCATTAAAAAGAGAATGTATTATGTTTTCAACAATATACCTTCTGCCATTTTGAGAAGAGATGTCAAGAATTGTTCAAATAAATGATTGCCTCCATTTTGTTTTAAGTATGGAAAGTGAGTGACACCAAAATCTGAATGTGTACTAAAATAGCAAAAGATGTTTTCCAAAAGGTAAGCAAAGTAGAGCAAAAGAAACATTTCATTAGAAACAATGAAAAGAGTATTGGATTGCTATGTAATATTCATTCTCTTATATGGCTGTGAATGCTGGACAATCTATCTCCCAAACAGATGAAGAAAAAATTGGAAACAACAGATATCTCATTCTACAGAAGGATACTGAGGATTCCATGGTCGGAGTGAGTAAGCAACAAGAAGAAATGACAACAAAAAGAACAATTATACTCAGAAAGAGAAAGCTGAAATTTCTTGGACATATAAGGAATATATATATATATATATATAATATATATTTGGAAAACTTAACCCCCTCAGGGTATATGGAGGGCTAACGAATTAAGGGAAGGCAGGAAACCACCTCCCCCTGATAAGCTTATGGAAATGGATGGTGCAATGGGGTCAAGAGGCTTAGGGGTTGGGTTTATTTTGTTTTACGGCTTATCAACCACAAGAGGTTATTTAATGCCAACAAAACTTTTAGAGTAGATTTGTTTGTTTAGTGGCATATCAACTTATGAGTCATTTAATACTGAAATTTCATTTTCTTGCAAACATTAGTAATTGTTATAATGGAACACACCTATTCTATAGTTAATAGACTCTCCCACCTATAATAAGTAGGAGTAGTAAGAGTAACGAGTCAGTCGCTAAGTCGCTCAGTCTGTCGATGCCAGATGACCGTTAGTCGGATACTAAAGTATCAGCAACCACAACTAGATTTCTCTGCGTCATTATACCAAGTTCCTAATGTTTTGTACATCAAACCTATTTTAGGACCGACTTAGTACAACTACAAGCCTCCACTGTGAAACTACTCTATAACAGTAATTTCTTTTACAAAAATGTATTGCTGGTAATATTTTAATTTTTTTTTTTTCAAAAATGTATTGCTGGTACTTTTACTATAAAAAATCTATTTTTATACTTTCATAGTGCTTTGACCCCAATTTGGGGGTTTACTATTTGTCCATAGCTGTGACCCTAACATGTGCTACCACCCCAGGTCAGGGTGGACTTGGGGACAACAAAATTGGTTTCATGCTCCTGGAAGGCTTCCAATCAGAGGTTGTGCAGTCAGATGTAGTTTATCATCATACACAGGATGTCAGGAAGCTTAGCTAAGAAAGAACCATTGCTAAGGGACAGAAGGGATAGTAAATTTTGGGGAGCCATGACTGTCCATGTCCAGAAGGGATGCAGCACATAGAAGATCTTCCATTTTTTTCAAGAATCATGATCATTCCAAGAATCATCAGGACTTATTTTAGGTTTTTTTAATCATTTTACCTCAAGTAAGGTAATAAAGCCACTGAGAATGAAGGAGTTATTGCGTATGAAAATATGAGGAAAACAAAACATTATTAACGAATGAGAACAATTAATGAACAGGAATTAAGAAGACATGACAATGATTGACACTGAATTTAAATTTTTGAAAATCAAAGTTGATATGGAAGCAAGAAACCAGAAGAGAGTTCCACAAGCAAGAAGTGCAAAAAGAAGAAACTTTTAGCATAGAAGTTATGGTTACATCGAGCCAATTCAACTGTAAATTGATGAGACCTAGTGGCCAAGCTAGTACTGTGCTTAAATTCATCAAATCTAGGTGCCAAAGAGTAAAGTTGTTTGGAACAATTATCATGAAAATATTTATAAAAAAGGCACAGGCAAGCTATGTCACAGCAGTGAGAAAGTGACTGAAGCTGAGATGCCAGGTCAGGACCAAGGATCTCACTTTTTATTTGTTTTTTTCTATTCAGATCTTTGTTGTTTTGGTTTAATCAAAAAATATATATTCTTGTTTATTTGGGTTATTTTTTTTCAGTGTAATTCTAATAGCATTGTTTCTTTTTTTTTAATTTTGTTTTATTCATTTGATTTCTGGAGAAAGGATGAACCAGCTGTGATTAATAAAGTCAAGATAATTTTTGGCAATTTTGAGTTAATTCATAATTTTCAGTTGGTATCCACCATTTTTCTGTTTTAGTTTTGGTAGATACTATGTGACAAAAAGTTAGACTTCTTACTTTATTTCTTCATATAGACCAGGGGTCAGCCACATGCAGCACGCCAAGCAATTTTCAATGGCACACAGCCACAAATGACGTCATGAAGTCCGAACCAATAACTACCACAATGCAAAGAAGATATTTAACTGTTTAAAACTGCTCACTCGTTAAACTCCCATTAATAATAGAAAATTAAAAGAAACCTTTAAAAATAGTTTATTTCTACTAATGTGGCTTCATAGTATTGTGTATATTACCATATCCAAATAAGAGAAAGAACAAATAGAATAAAAATCCAGTTCATAACATTTACTTTTTAGAAAAAGTGCTCAATACAAAGTAGAGCAAAATATTATATAATAATATTTTTATTATAATAGATTATAATAAAAAATATTATATAATATATTACTATATAAAATATATTATAGAACAGGTATATTGACCTTGACTTGTAGAAAAATATGTATGCTGTTGGCACACTGAATTATTTTAAAACCCTAGGTCAGCACATAATCAGCAAAAGGTTGCCGATCCCTGATATAAATTGAAACCCTAATGAGGATCAGAAAATCAATTCTTCAAAAAGGTGTGGCATCAACAAAAAGCAACACAAGGAATTATATTAATGGTCAAAAGAACTCTTGGAACCGGAATGATTCTTTTCAGAATTCTACAAGATGTTTGATTTCATGATGCAAGTTAATGCTTTCTCAATAAAATAAATGATTCAAAAGTAAACCAAAAAAATCCTGGCTATAAATGAAAATAAATTTAGTTCCAAGACAGGTACTTAGAGGCTGACAATAGCCATATAAAGAACGTTTTGAAATAGACTATACCTATGTTGAGGTAATTTTTGTTTTTTAGCTGTAAGAAATACATATGCTCTGTTAAAATAAAAACATCGAGCTCTCTGTAAAGCAGTTTTAATAATTACTATTACTAGGGTCCAGCCGGATTATATACCAATGGATCGATTACCTGTACTATACATATATATGATTATACCAGTCTTTCTTTTTTTATTTTTAGGTTTTTCTCTCCACTGGATTTCCCCTTCTATATCCAGCATATATTAGCCCCTGAAAATGCGCAAAATGTAGCCCAAATTCAGTTGAATGTGGTACCCTACATGCATACTGAAATAGACATAAAAATAAACCATCATAACAAAGGTGTCAGAGTAACCCACAATCCTTCCCTTCAGTGCAATGGCGAAGTGTAGTTGTAAGAGTTTTCTCATCTAAGATCCATACATTTTTATGAACCTGGAAATACACGTTTTTTTTATGTTCATTCTTTGTACTCAATTATAGTTTGCTTTCTACCACTGGGCATTTATTCTTTAAAATTAATTTATTATCTTCCTTTATCTCCCAGACTCAATGCATAAAATTTTAAAATAAAGAAAGAAAACTTGTTTGTAGAATCAATTTTTTGATTAAATCCCTTTTAATATCTTAATTAATATCTTTTCTTTGTTACTCGGACTTTTGTGGGCTTTTTGAGATCCTGAAAATTAACTGAAACTTTATACGTTGTTGTTATCTGTCTGTTGTTCTTTCCAATATATGCAACCTGAAGCTAAAATTGCTAACAAGCCAAAACAGATGATCTTTTTTGTTTTTAATTTTCTTTTTTGTTTTTTAATTAAGAGACAAAATAGTTTTGCTACATGGCACCTCTTCGTTAAAATTCTCCTGCTTATCTTCCAGATTCCATGAGCAAAATTTAAAAGAAAAACATTGAAACTGAATCTATTTGAATAAAAAGACAAAAACTTTGTAAATTAAATATTTAATTTTTTTTTTTTTTTAAATACTTATTAATTTTCAGAGTTTTATTTAAAACTAGAGAATTAATTTTGAAATTACCATACTATTGAACAAAAAAATCTCTCTGCCTCTATGATGTCATCTCCCTGCTACTTCTATTCATTCTATAAATAGTTAGTTGGCAGTTAGATTAAGTGGGCTCATTTTAGTAAGTCAAAGTTACTGTGAATGACACATAGGGGAAAAGTGGAATTACAGTTAAGTTTTATTTGTTACAATATGAAAAAGATAAAAATATCTTCATCAGAAACATGCAGCGTCTAAGCCAAGAACAGTTCATTACAAGCTCCTCCACATATTAAAAAAACTGCTAACTACAAGAACTTAAGGCTTATTTTAAATGGGTTTACAGCATATAAACTTTCTCCAGATTATTTAATGCCAAATTCTGTGACATTAATAAATAAAATAGATTGGTAGACATAGAGTAACACTGCACAAGAAGTAAAAAAATAGACAAAAGTATACACTAGAAAGATTTGGTTTGCATAGGAGTGGAAAAGGTAGACATGTTTGGCTTGCACAAGAGTCAAAAAGGTGTACACAGATTTCATTTTCATGAAAGTCACAAAGGTAGAGATATTTTTATTTTGTATGTGAGTCAAAAAAGAAAACATAGGTTTGCTCTACAGTTAAAAAGGTAGACACAGTAAACAGGTGATTCCTTTTTTGTAAGTCAGAGGGTACTCCATGGTGTGGTGATGTGGTTGGCATGTTCTTGACACTAACTTATAGGACAAAAGAACTTAAGATCTCATATATAGCAATAATCTGTGATTGTTAGGATCAAAATTGGATTTTTTCTAACCTGATTCTGAAATAAAAAGCAAAACCAAAAAGACAACTGTAAAGACAAGATAAATGAAATTCAAAAACATTCAAATATTTTTGGTAAATAAATATGCAAATTATTCCAAGAAATAACTAATAATTATCAATTATAAAATAATTCAGTAACAACTGTATAAATATTATTGATAAACATACCGAAGCATATTGTAGGCTGTTGTTGGTCGGAGAGTTGTCGGTCCAAAATCAGTGATCAGTCGTCGATGCAAACTGGTTTTAGTGAGAGCAATGCTCACAGAGACATCATCATCATTAACGGTAAGAATGACTTCAATGTCAAAGTTCTTCATTTCGACATTCCAGCCAAAATACGTCTGAATGGCGCCACCAAAATTAGCAGCAGCACACATCGAGTTAAATGAATGGTTCTGCCCAGTCCTGTAGCATGTTGCTCGGAAGGAAGGCTTTGAGGGGTCAATGGTCTTCAGTCGCGGTTTCTTCTCAGGTGGAGGCTGAAGTGATTCTTTGGGTGAGTTTTTCTCTTCATTATCATTACCATTATTCTCTCCTGGAATGTCTTTTGGTTCTAAAAGGGTGCTTTCTAATGTTGAAGAGGTTTCAGCATTGTCTATGACTTCTTCAGCTTTTACAAGTTTGGCTTCAGCTTCTTTAGCTTTAAGTGCTTTTTTCTCAAGCCTGGTGCGTCTGTGTCGGCCATAGTCTTTCCTGTTTGATTTTTCCTGTTTTGGTAAAGTCTTAATGGTTGACGAAGGGATCGTGCTTCCAAAGTCGACAGGAGTTGTTACTGGCTGGTCAGAGATGGGCAGTGGGAATGAGAAAAATTTGAACCAAACATTTATACCACTTTTCCAGTCAACATTTTCTACAAGATGTTGCAGCTTGACCATACATTCAACCTAAAAAGAACAAAACAGGCAAATCAATCAACACATGAGTCACAGAGTATCAAACATAAATAGAAGGATAAAAATATCAAAGTAGATAAAAATGTGTGACACAATTTTGTTTTCTTATAAGCAACAATTCACAGATTTCAACAACTGATGTCAGTATGGCTTATGCAAATGAAAAACTGAAAAGTAAAATGTAAAATTAAACGAAAGAGTTTTAAATACATTATTTTATTGTGTATTCAAGAATTCTACCAATTCTGCTCGTTTAGTTCCATTGAACTGACTTTCTTTTCTATTTATTAGAACCAAACATAAAAAATTTCAGTTAACATTTAAGCAACTTGAAGACATAAGCAATGCTAAGTTTCTTATAAAAAAAATCATGCATTTAGAACAGAACAAATTCTATACAGCAGCCCACTACTTATACTGAATTTTATACAATCGTCTTTTCTTTATTTTTTAAAAGATCAAATTCTTGAGAACTAGATGACAAATAGAAGAGGGAACTTCGTAAAAATGACTAAGAGAAGAGAACACCTCCTAAAAATGACAAACAGAAGAGAGCACCTCCTAAAAATGACAAATAGAAAAAGACACTCCCTAAAAATAACAAAGAGGGCACTCCGTAAAAATGTCAAAGAGGGCACTCCATAAAAATGACAAATAGAAGAGGACACATTCTAAAAATGACAAATAGAAGAGAACACATTCTAAAAAATGACAAATAGAAGAGAGCACATTCTAAAAAATGACAAATAGAAGAGAGCACATTCTAAAAAATGACAAATAGAACACATTTTAAAAATGACAAATAGAAGAGAACCCATTCTAAAAAATGACAGACAAAAGAGAGTACTCCCTAAAAATGACAAATAGAAGAGAACACCTCCTAAAAAATGATAAATACAAGATATCATTTCCTAAAACATGATGACATGGGCACTTTAAAAATATGACAAAGTCCAGAGAGCATTTTACAAAATAAGACTAACATATCAGTGATAATCACATTTCAGTGATTAAAACAATAAAGATGAGGATGCTCATTCAGAAAATTCAAGGGTTAATGATACTACAAAGATGAAGATGTTAGTTCAAATAATTCATAATTTCCAACCGCAGGCATCATTTGAACATTTTCCTTTACACAAGATGATGCAAACGTTTGGGGATTTATTTTTATTTTTTTTTTATACTCCAGACCCCTTCCCAGGATATCTTTAACACTTTGCAAATTTCTTTCTTTTTTTTTTTTTTTCTTGCTCAAAAGTAATTTATTGATTATGTCAATTTAATTAATTTCCTTAATTAGATAATCTAATTAATTTTAAATTTTCATTCGTACTTCTGTTTTTCAACTCGGTTAAATTGCACAAAATCCAACTGACACTGTTGCCTTTCTCTCACTGATATCTGACCCAGCTTGCTTAAATCGTGCTTACAAGGACATCGTTGTTGTCATGATTCTTATCACTAATAAGGGATGGATGTTGGAAGATTAAATAAAATCATTCTGTGTTAGTGTCAAACCCAAACCATTTTCTAATCTTCCAGACTCACCTTAACAATTTACTGTTGTAAAAAACTAATTACAATCAAAATCATTCATCTACCAAGCCTTCAAGGAAAATGATTTGGGAAAATTATTTTGCTGATTACCCATTTCCTTAAGGATGGACATGATGAACTTCAATCTAATTTGCTAAACTCTTCTAAATTACTAAATTCTTCAGAAACAGAGAAAGAAAAAAATAATTCTTTGATAACCATAAATGCTCACCTTTGGGTAAAATTCAAGGGGATAAATTTCTCATCTCAAGGAGAACATGATTTATGTGTAAAAAAAAAAAAAAAATTTTTAAACACTCTTGTTCATTAAAAATGCCCTAAAAAATTGTGTGAGGTTATTAATTAACACAGATTGATTGGAAAAGTAAAAAAAAAAAAATGAGGTTATCAATCATTTTTGTGTTAATGTTTACAAATATTTAACCTCTTTAGGGATTTTTATTATTTAAAATATGTTTCAATTTGATATGATGTGTATCATCACGTCTCAAAAGTTGAGAGACAAACCTGACCAAAGCATACCAAGAAATGGAACCATTTTGCCCCGACTTCCAATTCCTGCAAGTGATTTGGATACATTAAAAGATCAAGTGCAGTGCTTAAAATATTGTGTCTTAAGGATGTAGTCCCTGAAAAAAGTAGTAGTTGGTTGGTTTGTTTCGTTTGCCAGCATATCAACACCTCTATGGGTTATTTAATGCCAAAATGTACATATTTTATATGTAATTTTATGCCTTCAACTACAAATATTTTGTACATAATTTTATACTATCAGGGTAAAGGTATGTTTTTTTTTATAGAGAAAAATAGTTTATATCTGTCTATATCTCTGAGATGAGGTATTATGATTACTTACATTATTTACATTATTCAGACTGTTATCCTCATCTTCATTGCATTGTTCACAATGTTTCGGCCTCTAAATCGCTGAGATGAGGTATTATGATTCCTTGCATTATTCAGACTGTTATTTTCATCTTCATTGCATTGGTTCACAATGTTTCGTCCTCTATATCTCTGAGATGAGGTATTATGATTACTTAAATTATTTACATTATTCAGACTGTTATCTTCATCCTCATTGCCATATTACACAACGTTTCGGCCATTGTACACTCTGGTTTTCTTCAATGATTGGAATCTACTCTAGAAAAAATAAAGAGTTCGGTTCAAAATTCCAATCAGCTGAAGAAGGCCGGAGCATACAACATCTGAAACATTGTGAATATGGGAATGAAGAGGAGGATAATAGTCTGAATAATGTAAATAATGTAAGTAAATAGATTGTTGATCATAAAATGTATTGTTGATATTTTTTTTTTTTAAATGTATTGTTAATAATTTCACTACAAAAATGTATTGTTGGTAATTTTACTATAACACTGAATTTTTTAGGCTTGCATTGATTGTAATTTTGCTCCAAGAATGTATTACTGGTCATTTTACCACAAAAATGTACTGTTAATATTTTTTGAGAGTTCACTAGTGACCCAAAGCTGGGACCATGACAGGTGCTCCCACCCCATGTCAGGGTGGACCTGGGAACAACAGAATTTAAAAAGTGGTACCATGCTCCTCAAAACCTCCAAATTCCTGATTAGTACCTTGCTACCAGATGTAGTTTATCATCATACCAAGGACAGGAAAAAGTAGGGGAAAAACAAAACAGAGGTTGAAAGATGGCATAATTCTGTAGTCACCAACTAAAGAATAATGACTTGCTCATGATCCTAATATATGGCAAGATTGACTGACTGATTTGTTTTTTTTTTACAATTTATCAATCCTTTGTGAGTTATTTGAAGCCAAAAAATATTTTGGACTGTCGGAGGTTGCTTACATTATCCAGTGTTTCTAAAGTGGTTCACCTTAGATGTTCAGACATGGCTCAATTCTGCTTAATTTCACTGATTGAACGAGAACTGGTATTTTCAGCATCATTTAAGCCTAAGTATATGGCTGGAAATAAGTTCTAGATAGAGTCAGAAACAGTAATTAATAACTTTTTTTCCAAGTATGCAATGCAACTTACAAAAATTATATATATATATATATATATATATATATATATATATATATATATATAAATATAAAAGTGAACATAGCAAGTCAACCTTAGGGCTGACAGTCTTTTTCATGCTATATGCATGAAACAGACTGGCCTGGCGATTTTTTGACTTCTATGTTCACTTTATTCTTTTACACAGGCTCTATCTCTGATATTGAGCACTTTATCCCATAAATATAGCACACCTTAAGACTATATTTCTTTTATATATATATATATATATATATATATATATGGTGGAATCTCCCATTGTATTCAACGTACAAGGGGTTAAGTAGCTCAGTTCCTAGGAACTGATAGCCCAGACACCAGCATATATGATTTGATTATAGGGCTTAAGGCTTTGTGCAGAACCAACCCCATTTTTTGAAAGGACGAATACAGAGAGCTAGTGCACTACATGCCACAAGGTCCCCAAAAAACCCTCCACAGGTTTTGAATTCAGAATTGTCCTTCTCCTAGACCAGTTATCATCCAAGGCTATAAAACCCAGTCTGTCCTGCTATTTACCCATAGCTGGAGGAAGAAGAGGAGGATTAATACCTTTCCCAAAGGTGTTAGCATGTAAGTGAATGTAATGGATTCAACTGGAAAATCGAACTTGGCTCTCTGATTCCTCAATCGGAGCTGTTATCCACTACTCCACCATAGTATTAATTATATATATATATATATATATATATATATATATATATATATATATATATAAATGAATAATTTTTTGCTCCTTAGCTGACTGATATTACCTTCAGCACCCTAACTCCAGATGAATGCACCAATAATCACTCCATCCACTCGTCAGGGGATATCAGCAATTGACTGTTTATACTTCTCAATTTTATTTTCTTATATGCTGTTTTCATTGGTGCAAGTTTTTATTTTTTTTCCTAGTGTATGTGTGCATGTGTACCCATGCATGAATGTGAACATACAGGTACAATGTTGTGGTTATTTCTTCTTTTCTTGATTTTACACTCACTCCTATATATATATATATATATATATATATATATATAATGTATGTGATATATATATGAAAAAAATATATAGGATTTGCATTAGTATGTGATATATATATATGAAAAAACAAAATCATACTTATTATAAAGCCCAGGTTGTGTGTGTGTGTGTGTGTGTGTGTACGTTCATATATTGGATCAGATGTCCTACATTTTTCAACCGATTTCAACAAAACTTCACAGGACTATGCAAAATTACCTTGCGGTGGTTCTGTCAGCGTCAAAAATTGGAAAAACACAATTCTTTTTGCACAAAATCAATTTGAAAACACAATTAAGAGTCATCACGAGAATGAAAGGGGGACAACTCATATCGAGTTATACTTATTATAAAA